CTATTTGAAGTCTTGAGTAGCTTCATAGGATGTATTATGACTTGCGTGTATCGTCTGCTTTGGTTTTTGGGTGATTCGGAATTGATTTGGAAGCATGATTCTCATTTTATAAGCTTTAAGTTGGAAGAGCTAACTAAGTTTGACTTCTAAGTATTTGACCTCAGATCGGAGTTTTGATAGTTCTATTAGGTACTGATGGTGATTTTGGACTTGGGGGTATGCTTGGATTTAAATTTGGAGGTTTCTAGAAGGTTTCAGTACTATTTGGCGAAAGTTGAAAATTTGAGATTTAGAAAGTTCATAAGTTTGACGGGGAATTGACTTTGATGATATCAGGTTCAGATTGTTGTTCAGGGAGTTGGAATAGGTACATTATTTCATTTGAAACTTGTGTGCAAAATTTGAGGTTATTCCAAGTTGATTTCATATGGTTCGGCACGAGTTTTGGAAGTTGAAAGTTCAATAGTTCATTAAGTTTGATTTGAGGTGTGATTCATGATTTTGATATTTTTATGTGGGATTTGAGGCCTCAAGCAGGTCCGTATTATGTTTTAGGACTTATTGGTATGTTCGGATGGGGTCCCGAGGGGTTCGGGTGAGTTTCAAATTGGTTTGGGTTGTGTTGCGCACATTTTTTATCTTTTCGACACCGTTTCTTCAAGCATAAATGGTACCACATTAAGAAAATGATCTCTAAATACCGTTTTGATTGAATCATTAGATCTGTATCGTAATTACTGAGTCATAGTAAAAAGAATCGTAAAATTCGGAGATCGTATTAGGGAGTTATGCCTATTTTAGTATCAGAGAAGAAAGCTGGTGTTGGTGCTAGGTCCGCATCTGCGACTCCGCAGGTGTAAAAAATGATTTGCAAATGCAAAAATTACAGCTGGAAGACCGTAGGTGCAGATTTTTGGGCGCCGAAGTTAAATTCCCTATGTATTAAAAAATCGGAATGCGTTTATTTAGTATTTTGAGCATATCTTGAATTTTAGAGTTCCGTTTGAGGTGATTTTCGCGGCGTTCTTCTCGTTTTTTCATGGAGGTCAGTATCTGACCTCAAATTTTGCATTTTAATATTATTATACTAGTTCAATTATGAATTAATTCATATTTTGATTGGAGATTTGTGGGTTTCCCCCCTAAAACTTAAGGGATGAAATTTATGGATTTAGAGATCGATTTGAAGTCGGATTTGGATTGAGATAAGTCTTTTTGACTCGGTTTTGATTATTTTACATGATTTTATCTTTGTTTTTTGTATTTAAATGGTGAATCTAAAAGAGAAATTGTGGGTTTTTGTCTAAACTTTACTAAAGTAAATTTTTGAGTTTTGAACATTGATTCGGAGTCGGATTTGAGTGAAATTAGTATGGTTGGACTCGTATTCAAATGGGTTGTCACAATTTGTGAGTTGGGTCAGTTTTCGAGGTGTAGACCCAGATTTGACTTTTTGGTTGGCTTTGAGTAATTGAGTAAAGATTCGACATTTATTGTTTAGGTAGGTTCTTTTGGCATTATTTGATGTATTTGTGTTGCTTTTTGCTAGTGTTGAGCCGTTCCGAGGTTGATTCACGTAGGATGGCATTATAGAGTATTGTTTGGCTTGCTCGGTATTTATTTTGGCATGTTTGAGGTAAGTATCTTATTTAAACTTGGTTGAGGCACTAGTTGCCTAAATTATTTGTGATATCTCCGGGTTATGGGTGCGCATATGTGTGGGGTTTGAGCCTATATGCGAGCACGAGGTATTTTTTCATGCTCGGGGGTAGTGCTTAGGCCTTGTTGTATTTGAGCCAAATTTGAGGCTACGAAGAGGCTAATTCCTTGAATAAACTTGGTAATTGCTAATTCTGTGATGAAATTTCTGATTTAAGCTATGATAGCACACTTTGCACATGCCTATACTTTAGCATCTTATTATACCAGCCCAAGAGCATGAAATCTGATATTTATTGATCATATACATGTGTTCTTGTATACTTGTTTCTGTGTGATATGGTTTGGACTGGATGCCTATGACCACGCGGGGCGGATTATGTTGTTATGCCTGTGACCACGCCGGGCGGATTATGTTGTTATGCCTGTAACCACGTCGGGCAGATTGTATTATTATGCATGTGGCCATGCCGGACGGATTGTGTTGTTATGCCTGTGACCACGCCGGGCAGATTGTGAGTATCAACATGTGAGTTGTCCGTGCAGCACATGAGTTATCCGTGCAGATCCAGATATTGATATCATAGCACATGAGTTGTCCATGCAGCATGTAAGTTGTCCGTGCAGTTTATATTAAGCATGTGATCATACCGAATCATTTATGATATTGAGCCTGTGACCAAGTCGGGCTGGTAGCACGTTGAATTGGCCGTGCTTACATGTGGATGCTGATCCATTCCCCTAGGGTCACACTGTCATGTTTCTCTCTTGATGGTGTACACGCGGATTTTGAGAAACCGACGGGTTTCTGGTTGATGTGAGCTCTGGGAGAGCTGGTTATTGTTATTTGGATCGGGTTGCACGCCGCAACAGGCCTTATTGGCTTATTGTTATATGGATCACGTTGTGCGCCATAACGAGCGGATATTTGGTCATTGCATTTTATCTTTACTTTCAATTTTCTTGATTGTTTACCTGATTTACTTGCATATCTTCCTTTTATTCATGATTGCTGACTGAGTAGAACATTTTAAAAAAAAGAATTATGAGCACCAAAGAGGTTTTTACCTGTGATTTACCAGATTTGATCATATATTTGTTCTATACTTGTTGAATTTATGAATTGCACAGGTGATCATCGAGTATCATTTATAGTTAGTTTGGATACTTATTGAGTACAAAGGGTCGGTTGTACTCATACTACACTTCTGCACCTTGCGTGCAGATACTGGAGCTGATGTTGCTGTGTACAACGAGAGTTGGCATTGAAGATGTACCTGTATTCTAGTTATAACTGCCACTTGTCCTTGGTAGCTTTAGATTTGCAAATCTATTTAAGTATATTCCAAACAGATAATGTATTTATTTCGTTCCAGCTTTATAAATTCTAAATCTTAGAAACTCTTGATTTGTACTACCAGTCCTTGGGAGTTATATAGAAATTAAGTTATTTTACTCATTTACCCTTATTATTCTCATTTGAGTTACGTTGACTGTTACTTGGCATACCTAGCGGGTTGGGTTAAGTGGCATCTTGACTAGATGGATTTTGGGTCGTGACAAGTTGGTATCAGAGCTCTAGGTTCATAGATTGTACGAGTCATCAACAAGTGTCTAGTAGAGTCTTGTGGATCGGTATGATGACGTCCATACCTATCTTCGAGAGGATACATGGCATTTAGGCTAGACTTTCCCATCTTTATTTCCTTATCGTGCGACATTGATTCAGCTTGAAGCGTATCTCTTTGAATTTCTCTCACTCACGCGTATGTTATGCTAAGCACTCGGTATCAGTTGTGCATCGATGGTTGCGATTCCATAGATGAGGTGCGAGATGTATTTTCTATGTTTTGGTGATGGGCCAGTATGGAGGAGTTGAGGCTGGTTTTGACCGCAGTTTGAGCTCGGTGGTTTCAGTTATGTGAGCATATGCGTTTGGGCTTATATATGTCTGGTAGTATGTAGGAGCAGGATTTATGGCCCGGTGAGTGGTTGGATAGTTATATGATGAATAAGATGTGACTACGGGATGTGTTCAGGTGGCTTGGATGTGACGAGAAGAGTTTGCTTGGGATGTAAAAAGGACTATGGATGCTTGATTTCTGTCTTGATATGGGGTACTGATATTCGGCTTAAAGTATGTATTATATGCATATTACCTAGCATTTTACTCATGTTTCGTAGATTTCGGATGTATAATATAATAATTTGTGCTAATTCGTGGTATTTTTATATGTAGGAATTTGGGACGAAGGTGCGTGAATTGAAGCGAAAAGGGGACGGAACGAGAAAAAGCCACAAACTAGCGCCCAGGGTAGCGTGGGGCGCTACATGTGGCACACAAATCAGAAGCTCAAAATTTTCAGCGCCAGGGTTAGCACTCCACACTATCCTGGGCGCTGGTGAAGTGAAGTTGTCCTATTTCTCTCGGGCCTTGGTTATTTCAACACCAAGATGCCCCCAACTCATATAAAAGAAAACCTAAACCTATTTTTGCAGGGGGGAGGTGACGCGACTTTGAGAGAAAAACACAAGTACGAAACACTCGGGAGCACGAAATTCATCAATTCCTCCATTCTTCTTCTAGTATTCATAGCTTATATGTTTAAAAATGATATTTTGATGATTGTTATGAACATGATTGCTAAGAACCTCGTTCTTCTGGGGTTATGGGTCATTCTTGACTATTGTAAATTGATTGTTTTACTTGATTTTATAATAGTAATTTGTTTATTCAATCTTGCACTTAATTATTCTATTACATATTAACAATAAAGTACTATCTACGAATTTATAGTTCAACTGGAAAATGGAAACTATAAATTGCATATAAGATTGAATAGAGTAAGTTCTTAAATCCGGGCATCGAAAAATAGATTCGTGATTAGGATAAACATATTGTAGTTGCCTTACTTGGTTATTTTTGCAGGAAATATACATGCGTTCTTGTCAAGTTTGATTCTATAGACATATAGTCTTAGGTTGTCTTGAATAAGCGACCGAAGCGTCAAAAGAACTTCGCAAGCATAAAAAACCCAGCTAATCAACAATTAGAAAAAACAAGTGACTACATCAACCCAAAAAATGCAATAGGAGAGACGTTAGTCCCGTAACCCTTGAATATGTCCATCTCATTGTATTCTTCCTAAGTATTTGTTTGCTATACTCGCGATCTTATTTTATTGCTTGCTTAGTAGTTTGTAGTAATCTATATATATATTTATAATTGAGGGCCTTACGTCGGTTACGTGGCATTCTCATTTAGCCGCATTTGATTTTTCTAGGCTCTAGGCTTTTTTGCAATTTGAACCTGAAATTACACCACCGAAACACTTCACACACTCAACTGCTTCTTCCCGCACCGCTTTTTTACATCACAAATACCTACGTTACTCTCTCTTCCTCATACCTATCTCCATTTTTCCTGCTAAAATTCCTCATAACTCTCACTTTATTAATTCCTACATCTAACCTTCTTTGAGCTATTCATTAATTTGGAAAATCGAAAAAAAATAGTTTGCTCACACTGCTACTCTATATTTTCCCACACCATATATATACTAACTTCGACGCCACTGAAGAATTCTGAAGAAAATCATCCTCGCCCACGGCTTCAGGAAAAAATGGTATTCACCTCATAATAGCCGGTCTGTAGTCTTTTCAAAATAATATTTATCATTTATGCCTTATTCTTATATATTTGACTCTTACAAACTTATAAGAACCCTAATCTAATTGTATAGGTATCGATAAACAAGGATGCCAAAACACAGTCTTTTGAGGTACCTTCTTCACTATTATGTTTTTCCCCACAATTCATACTTATATTATAAATATTCTGGGATACTATAATTTCTTACCTACTTATGCTGTCAATATTCTGGGATACCATAATTTATTACCTAATCACTAATTAAGGATATAAAAATTCAAAATCACTTTCAAAAATCCAAATATTATGTTTTTTCACAATTGATACTAACTGTGTCTCTGATATTCTGATACTTAATATTTTATTACTAATAATTTTTCCCGAGCAAAGTCCCAGAAATATTCTGGAATACTATATTTTTTCCCTATTCGATAACTAAGGAACAAAAGAATAAGATTATACTATGTTAGATTTTTCATCATAGCCTCAAAAATTGATATTGGATAGTTGTTCAACTTCCTCCTCTGCTACTATTTCCCTCTCTAAACTTTCATGTACTTGAAGCGACACATGCATTAAACATAGCGGCAATATTGTAATGATCAGGAAAATATATAGTTTTTCTCAGCAAAAATCGTATTGCCTTATTATTTTCATTTGATTGAATATAGATTGATGCTATATTAGCGCTATTATATTTTCCTGCTCTACTCTTTTGTATTATGCTTGAAGATCGACATATGCATTTAATACATTAGTTGTAGCCTAATAATCAGAAAAAATAAAAAAATATAACTTTTTACCCCTACAACCCGTCTGCTTAATGAACCCCAAATATGTCGTTTTCCCAATAAAGCTTAACTATATATGTTTGGTTGTCCCTATGAAAGCCCACATTGCGCCAATTTTTGCATAAGCCACAAATTGATCTTAATCGATTCATTGATATATCTGACTTGATTGATAACGGGAAGTTAGACGACATAACAACAGTCTCTCCTTCCTGTTGTGCAAAATCTACCTCCGTTATTGTGTCTTTTCTAAAGGATTGTAACTTTCCAATTAATCATTAGCATCGTTTAAAATTTTGAATGGAATCCTTTATATGAAAGCCTCCCACAACATCCTTACGTGTGTTTCTACCAATATCCGTAAACTATTTCTGCCATCCTTCTTAAGCTCATGCTATTTTTCTATCCTGAAACTGTTATAGGATATAACATATTTTCAGACTTGAATAATACTAGAGCTGATTGGACCATGAGGGTCAAGGTTTGTCGAATGGGAGATTCTAGTAATTTCAAGAGAAACAGAGAATTGATTAGTATAGACATGATCCTTGTAGATGAAGAGGTAATACATGTGTCTTATTCTTTTTCAATATGCAATTTGTAATTATTAATTTTGAAAACACTTACTGTTTTTCCTCTACCAGGAAACTTTAATACATGCTACAATAATAAAAAATTTAGTTAATAAGTACAAGAATTTGCGGGTGAAGGTTCAGTCTATGTTGTTAAGAACTTCAAAGTTATTGAGACTGCTGGTGAATTTAGACCAATGACAAGTATTTTTAAAATTTCTTTCTTCCTAACAACTACGCTCTAGAAACAACGAGAAGATAGTGAAAATAATCCTATAAACAAATATCAATTTATAAAACCATAAATGATCAACTCAAGGTTGAACAAACACCGTGTTATCAGGTATACTGATTACGATCAATTTTTGCTGCTACATTTTTCGTTATATTAATGTAATTACAAACATATTGAAAAAGAATAAGACACATGTATTGCCTCTTCATCTATAAGGACCATGTTATACAACGACTCTGATCCGTACATTATGATAGTAACTTCTATAACAGTAAAACAATTCTGTGGTAATTGTTTTATGTTTAATATTTATTGCTATGTAATTTACTACAGATATTCTGAAGATATATTAAAGTTGGTTTTTAAATTGCATTTACTGTTAACAGGTGAGGTTACTTTCACTACCCACATTTGCAAGGAGAATATATGTAAATCTTGAAATAGATTACATAACAACTTTGATTCAAAAGTTTAGTACCATTTGTTTTGCGGTACAAACTATCGGCAACTCTAATGTCAATAACATTCCCATTGAGGAAGAGATGTTTCTGAACATGATGAACATTACGAGTGTCTGACCGGAATGCCGAAAATACATGTAACTTCGATAGTGAGAGGCAACTTTACCAAAATGGACAACTATTTTGATTGGTATGGACAAGTATTTTGATTGGTAGTTATTTCATGCAACTCCTGTTCCAAGAAGATTGTATCCGCAAACGATGTTTATGCATGCCACCTTTGCGCTAAAGAATGCAAGTTTCCTTTGGTGAAATAAGGAAGCAAGTAGTAATGTAATGATTTATATTCTCATTTATTCTTACTTATTGTACAACTATAGGTACTAAATACACGTAAATATAAGAGACAAAATTGGGGAGACTACTGTGATTTTATTTAATGTTGTTGTGGAGAAGCTTCTTGATACATCCGCTCACAAGTTGTTCAATAGGTTGTCGTCGGATAGCAATAATGTACCGCCACAAATTCAAAGCCTTTGCGACAAAGAATTTATTTTCAAGCTAAGATTAAACAATTTTAATCTTAAAGAGGGGCTTGAAAATTATACGGTATCAAAGTTGTTGTTTCCAAACGAGAAATCTGGAATTGCAATATAGAAAAAGGAAAGAAAAAAAGGTATTGTGATATAGATTGTTTCAAATAGTAATCCAGATTTACGTATACACTGTAAATATGCTTTGATTTTATTGCTTCTGCAGGGAAAAAGCAAAGTGCAGGATAACATTGAAATAGAAGGACTTATTGAAGGGAAGGTAATTTTCTATAGTGTTTTATTTATCAAACTTCCTACTACTAACAATATTAACATATTCAAAAAATATGTAAATAATATTTCTTCTGAAAACTATTTAGGAACCTACTAATGTCTCTTTGGACAACTTTGAAGACTCTGAGGAAGATCTACATGTCAATGATGGTGTTAACTATAGGAAGAGAAAAACTTCATCAAGAAGGATTAGGAAGGGAAGGAACCTAATCATACATGACGACGAAGTTAGCGATCAAGACACAAAAAAAGAAGCAAAAAGTAGAGTGTTTATGTGTTGGTTTTGGAACTTTTAATGTTGTGTAACGTTAAACAAAATAAGTGTGTCCCTTTGTGCTTTTCAGTATGTAGACAGTAGATGTTGTGTTGATATAGAAATTGCTCTACTCTTGTGCTGAGTTTTTTTGTATTTACTGTAATGAATCGGAACCAAGAGGTTGTGAGTTCGAGTCACCCCAAGAGCAAGGTGGGGGGGTTCTTGGAGGGAGGGAGCCGATGGTCTATCAGAAACAACCTCTCTATCCTAGGGTAGGTGTATGGTCTGCATACAAACTACCCTCTCCAGACCCCACTAGTGGGATTATACTGAGTTGTTGTTGTAATGAATCAGAAGAATTCACATAAAGTATAATTGGTATACAATTATTGAATAGGTTCATTGATTAATTGCTCAGGTTCTAACACAATTCTTATCTTTTAGTTTGTTTTCATGTGTGATGCTACTTCTAAAAGTACTTATATTCAAATTAATTTTTACATGTCCAATGGCTGACACGAGTCACTATATTTTGGTTAGATTGTATGACAATGTAGCAAAAGGAGTGAGAATTAATGACGCCATTCATGAACGCGCGAAGTATGGGCAAATTACCTAGTTTAGTTATAAAACTCACGACCATCTTCGCCACCCTCACTTGAGCATTAAATTTATATATAACTTAGATTGGAAATAGCTGATCATAAATCCTCATGAGAACGATACTTTCTTATTACTTTATTACTTGTCGACCTCGTATACTTGCGTGTACGTTTGGAACCAACAAGTTTTTGACGTCGTTGCCGAGGATTTAGAAATTAGTTATTTGTCTGAAATAAGCTCTTATTTGTTTTTGTTCAAGTGTTAATCTGTTTGACTGTTTCTGACTCTATAGTTGTTCACCTTGAATGCTAAGAAGAAGCAATATTTTGAACAACCTTTCTCCTCCTGATCCTGAACCCGAAAGACTTTTTCACCGGTTAAGGAGAGAGGCGGAAGAAAGAGCAAGAATTGTAGAGTTGTGCATTGTAGTCCAACCACAACTAATCGAGATGGCGGAAAATTAAGAAAGAACGGTGATTGAGGGCGCAAGGCCTAGACTTGCTAATATGACTCAGGCTATCATGAAGCCTAACATAACAGGACATTTTGAGCTCAAACAGTACATGGTGCACCTGATTCAGTCCACATGACAGTATGTGAGTCTATCTCATGAAGATCCGCATTAGCACATTCATAACTTTTTGGAGATTACGGATACATACAACTATCCGAACGTCTCCAAGCACTATGTCAGACTGACTTTGTTTCCCTTTTCACTGCTGGGGGAGGTTAATCAAAGAGCTCGCAGACTCGATCCACACTTAGGATGATCTGGCACAAAAATTCTTAATCACGTTTTTCCCCACAAAGAAAACAAAGTCGCTAAGGAGCCAGATTCTTAGGTTTCAACAACAAGATGGTGAGACTCTTTGTCAAGCCCGGGAAAGATACAAGAAACTATTCAGAGACTGCCTACATTAATGTCAAACTGATAAGGTGTTGGGACATACTTTTTTGGATGGGTTGGACGAGACCTCCAAATTGAATCTAGACTCAGCCCAGCTTGTGGAGGAATTTGCATGCAAAAGCCATACAGTGAGACTCAGACTCTGCTGAACACTTTTACTACAGATGATCATAACTGGCAAGGTGAGAGTGACTCAAGAAGGATGATAAAACAGAAATCAGCAGGTACACCCGAGTTGGATGAGATGCCAGCCGTGTGAGCATAGATTGCTAAACTAAACAATCAAATGGCTAAGAAGACATGGGTCAAGGGCATCAAATGCAGCAGGTTCAGAGGATGTCCATATGTTGTGAAATTTGTGGAGATGGCCATATGAGTGATCAATGTCCGGACATAATTAAAGATTAAAGAAGAAAAGTGATGACACGATGTTCAACAAATTTCTTGATATGTTGAGCCAAATTCAATTGAATCTCCCATTGGTTGATGTGTTATGTGAAATCCCAAAATATGCTAAGCGCATCAAAGATATTATGGCTAACAAAAAGAGGTTGACAAAGTTTGAGACAATGGCACTTACTGAAGAGCGCACCTCAAGAATTTAAAGAAAAGTTCCGCAAAAGTTGAAGGATCCGGGGTGCTTCACCATACCTATTCGAATTTGTGAGGTAGATGTAGGACGAGCACTTTGTGATCTGGGGGCTAGTATAAATTTGATGCCCCTATCAGGTTTTAGTCAGTTGGGGTTGGGAACCCCAAGGCCAACCACAGTCATGTTGTAGCTTGCTGACAGATCTAATTTTCCATCCTGAGGGGGTGATAGAAGATGTGCTACTACAAATTGGGCAATTTATTCTGCCAGCATATTTCATTAAACTAGACTATGAAGCTAATGAAAAAGTCTCCATCATCTTAGGACGACCTCTCTTAGCTACCGCTGATGCTGTGATAAAAGTTCATGAAGGAAAAATGATCCTTCGGGTTGATAATGTGGAAGCAATCTTTAATGTGTACAGGGCAATTCAGCTGCCAAGTCACTATGAGGATCTAGCTATGATATCTATGATTGAAAAAGAAGAAGAAAAAAATTGTGTGGGTGCATATTTTAATGACTCTCTAGATAAAGCACTTATGTTGTTTGACAACATTGACTTGGATGACGAGGTAAAGGAGATGGTGCATTATCTGGATGCATGTGCTTATATCAAAGGACTGATTGACTTTGAGCCTCTAGATAGACCAACTGGGCCACCCCAAGCCGTCTATCAAAGAAGCTCCTAAATTGGAACTCAAGCGCCTACCCTCCCATCTTCATTACGCCTATTTAGGTGTTGATGAAACTTTACCTATTGTTGTATCTTCTGACTTATCTGTTTTGCAGGAAGAAAAGCTACTTCGCATGATTAGAGAGCACAAATGGGTGATTAGATGGACCATGGCTGACATTCATGGTATTAGCCCATCATTTTGTATGCATAATATTCTCATGGAGGATGGGCACAAATCGAGTCTAGAACACCAACGCCGCTTGAACCCAGTCATGAAGTAAGTGGTAAGAAAAGAAGTCATAAAGCTCGATGCAATATTATTTTCCCCATCTCTGATAGCAAGTGGGTAAGTCCAGTCCAGTATGTACCTAAAAAGGGTAGAATGATGGCAGTCATAAATGATAATAATGAATTAATCTCAATTAGAACTGTCACCGGTTGGAGAATTTGCATTGAATTTCGGAAACTGAATAATGCTACTATAAAAGATCACTCCCCCTCCCCTTTATTGATCAAATGTTAGATAGGTTGGCCGGACAAAACTATTATTGTTTCCTTGATGGACATTCCGGCTATAACCAGATATCAATTGCACCAAAGGACCAAGAGAAGACTACCTTCACTTGTCCTTATGGCACTTATGCTTTTAAGCAAATGCCATTTGGGTTGCGCAATGCAACTGCGACCTTTCAAAGGTGCACGATGGCAATCTTCACTGATATGGTAGGAACATTTTTGAAGTGTTTATGGATGATTTACTACGCTATTGAGCCAGAGGAAAAACAAAATGTTCTACTCAATTTACTACGCTTGAAAAACTTTAAATCCAACTCAGATAAATTACACAGTCATAGAAAAAGAGTTACTAGCGGTAGTATGAGCATTTGACAAATTTAGGGCTTACTTGGTGGGAACTAAAGTCACCGTCTGCACAAACCATACAACCATCAGGTATTTGTTTTGAGAAAAAGGATGCTAAGCCTAGACTAATTCGCTGGGTTCTTGTCTTGCAGGAATTTGACATGGAAATCAAAGATCGAAAAGGGACATAAAATCAGGTGGCGGACCATTTGTCGCACTTGGAAACTCATGCACATGTTGAGGAAGAGGGCGAAATTCAGGAAACTTTTCCTGATGAGAAATTGTTAGCCATCATAGCTGGCACAACCCCATGGTATGCTGACTATGTGAACTTCATTGTAAGTGGGGTGACTCCGTCAGAGTTATCTCGATTTGGTAAGAGAAAATTCATGCATGATGTTAGGATTTATGTATGGGATGAGCCGTTTTTGTTTAAGCAATGTGCAGATCAACTGGTGTGCCGATGAGTTCCTGAAGAGGAGATGGAAGCAATGTTACATGATTTCTATGCATCACCATATGGGGGGCACTATGGTGGAGACAAAATGACTGCAAAGGTGTTGCAGTCGGGATTCTATTGGCCTAGGATATTCAAGGATGTGCATGCTTTTGTGAAAATGTGTGATAGGTGCCAAAGGACGAGTACAATTTCGAGAAGGCATGAGATGCCATTGAAGGGCATACTTGATGTCGAAATCTTTGATGTTTGGGGAAAGACTTCATGGAGCCATTTCCAGCATCAAATGGCCATCGATATATCTTGGTTGCAGTTGACTATGTGTTAAAGTGGGTTGAGGCTGTGGCTTTGCCTACAAATGATGCTAAAGTGGCGGCGAGCTTTGTGAAGAAAAATATTTTCACTAGATTCGGGACTCCGCGTGCTTGGTCAGTGATAGAGGTACTCACTTTTATGACAAACTGTTGGGAAACCACTTAGCTAAGTATGGGGTGTGACACAAGGTTGCAACTGCATATCATCCGCAAATCAGTGGTCAAGTGGAGGTCTCAAATAGGGAGGTGGAGAAAAGTTTGGAGAAGACAGTGAGCGCAAGTAGGAAGGACTGGGCTGGCAAGCTAGATGACGCTCTATGGGCATATCGCACGGCATTCAAAACTCCAATTGGCTCTTTTCCATACAAGTTAGTATATGTAAAGGCTTGCCACTTGTCTGTTTAGCTTAAGCACAAGGAATATTGGGCAATCAAGAAGCTCAACTTTGATATGGATCTAGCTAGGGAAAAACAAATATTGCAACTGAATGAACTTGAAGAGTTTTGACTGCACGCATATGAGAATGCGAAGTTGTATAAAGAGTAAATGAAGGGATGGCATGACAAACACATTTTGCATTGTGAGTTCTAACCCGGTCAAGCCGTTTTATTGTTCAATTCAATGTTGAAGCTCTTTCCTGGGAAGCTTAAGTCTAGATGGTCAGGTCCATTTGAAGTAGTGCGGGTTACAAAGCAT